CAGTCCCAAATTCAAAGCAGAACCCGGAAAAAGGTACCATTGCAATATGGTTGGTCTCCTCCACCCACTTTCTAGAGGCTCAGTACACATTTCTTCTTCCGACCCACTCGCAAACCCTCTCATCGATACGGGATACCTCACTAATCCACTCGATGTTGAACGGCTCGTTGCTGGTGTCAAACTGATGCGGAAGATAACAAAAACCGCCCCCTACAGTAATGGTGTTGACGGGATTTATGATCCTCCTGAGGATGTGTTTGGAAATGACGATAAGCTGGTGGAATGGATTAGAGAAAAGGTTGAATCGTTTAATCATCCAATCGGGACGGTGCCTATGCTTCCAAGGGCTGATGGGGGTGTTGTGGATAGTAGTTTGAAAGTTTATGGAACGAAGAATTTAAGAGTTGTAAGTTGACTTGCTGGCTTCCATTGACCAATCTCATTGCCATTTCAGGCGGATGCATCGATTATTCCGTTGGTTCGTGATCAATCCTCAAAAAAAGATATTCATTTGATTTCTTTTAGCAAATTTCAGCCCACATTCAACACACTGTGTATGCTATTGCAGAGAAGGTGAGTAGACACTCGAATTTTACTCTCTTCTCAAATGAAGTAACGTCTCGTAAGGCCGCCGATATGATCAAGTTTGAGCACCAGATTAATTAGAATTAAGGACATTGTTCTACTTTTCGACAAGGATCAAGACTTGTAAACAAGAGCTTTGTCTATCGATACAATCTTTGGCTTGGCCAAGAAATTTACCTTTCCAAACATGAGCTCTACTTCGGGTTCATCCACTCACATCATGTACATTATACAATAAATCCCATTAGACATGTGAAAATAATACAATTTCTTAGATTCGAGGCATCATACAAAAAGAAAAAGGAAAAAGACATATGAAAACATAACCCCATGTCCGTCTATCATATCAACACACCGCAACCCATCATCCTCACTCACTGACTCTCCGCAACCTTCTTCTTAATCTGATCAACAACCCCAGGTTCTGCAACCGTCGAGAGATCACCAAGCTGATCGCCTTCTCCTGCAACGATTTTACGCATGATACGGCGCATGATCTATAATTTGGACGATTAAAAGTAAGAAAAAGGAAGCAGAGAGAAGAAGGATGGATACTACACACCTTTCCACTCCTCGTCTTGGGCAGATCCCCGACAATATACACCTTTTTCGGTGCCGCAAACGGACCAATGACCTTTCGGACTTGGATAACGAGTTCTTTGACGAGGGAGGTTTCGTTTGAGGGGTCGTACGAGAATTCACTACAGAGCAAAAAAGGAAAGGTCAATACTTGCAGGAAGAATAAGAATAAGAGGTACAACTCACGGTTTCATAGTAACAAACGCATGAACAGCTTGACCCGTCAAATCGTCTGCGGTACCAATAACGGCGGTCTCTGCGACACCTTTGTGAAGGATGAGTGCGGATTCGATTTCGGCGGTGGAGAGACGGTGGCCGGATACATTGATGACCTGAAGGGATAGAATGAGTTTTATCTCTTTATGTTAATTCAATTGCAGGTGAACATACATCGTCGACACGACCCTTGATCCAGATATCATTATCTTCATCCCTCGCAGCACCGTCACCGGTGTAGAAGAGTCCGGGGTAGGGCTTCATGTAGGTCTCGAGGTACCTAATAAGCCCAATCAGCACAAGGATATAACATACTGAAGATACTCAGACCAACCTCGCATGGTCCTTCCAGATAGTCCTAGCAATCGACGGCCAAGGCTTGCTCAAACAAAGCACACCTTCACCAGGTCCATCAACAGGCTATATCAAGTAACAAAAGTCAATACTCGAGCACCCGAGACGCAGAGCGGGACAACGACGAACCTTGCCAGTAGTAGCCTCGACTAATATCGGTACCTGACCAAAGAACGGAACTTGGGCCGCACCAGGTTTGGTCTCGATAGCACCGGGGAAAGGGGTGAGGACGATGGAGCCTGTTTCGGTTTGCCTGAGAATAAGTGTGAGCATGAGATTGCGAGATGAAAGGAGTGATTGGCGACACACCAGAAAGTGTCAACTACAGAACACTCTTTCCTCCCGACGTACTCGTTATACCATTCCCAAGCCTCGGGGTTGATGGGTTCACCGACGGAGCCGAGGACACGCAGGGTTGAGAGGGTGAAGGGTTGGAGGTGGTGGTGACCTGACCGAAAAGGGTTCAGTAATGATGAAGACGAGGGAGAGGGAGATGAGGTTACCTAGACGTCTTAGGAGACGAATGGCAGTTGGAGCAGAGTAGAATTGTGTCAGGCCATGCTTCTCAACGGTTTCCCAGTATCTAAACAGGGTAAAAGAAAAGATGAGGACGCAAAAGAATTACAATGAGTAATGGACGTACCGAGCAGGCGAGGGATAGACAGGTGTCGACTCGAAAACGGTCGTAGTGGTTCCGAGTGTGAGAGGGCCATAGATAATGTAGCTAAGACGATATCAGCATTTGGGCATTGGGAGACTGAGAACGGAAATGAAGAGCGTAAATACGCAATGAAAGCGAGGAGAGATAAGATACCGCCGCCAACATCGAGTATGACAGTGAGACAGGGTACGCGGGAATAAAACGGTAATAAGAGACGAGAATGAGGAATGCGGGGAGAGGTAAAGACGCCAAGACTCGATTGATCGTGTCGAAAACAAGACTCACGTATGGCCGGTAATCCAACCAATATCCGCCATGCAAGCAAACTTGTCGCCGGCCTCGGGGTGTACGTCAAACACGTATTTGACGGTCAAGGCTGCGCAGAGAAGGTACCCGCCAGTGGTGTGCACGACACCCTTGGGTTTACCAGTCGAGCCCGAGGTCTAGACAGGGCCATTAGTGTATTGGAATTGGGAAAGGTAGGAAAGGACGAACGTAGAGAATGAATAACGGGTCCTCTGCGTTCATGGTCTCTGGTACACAGTATCCTGGCACCTTTTCTGTCTGCTCATGCCACCACAAATCCCTTCCCTTTTCCATATTCACCTCGCTCCCTGTCCTCTTCAACACCAAAACATGTTCTACAACCGGACACTCTTTAAGCGCCTGGTCCACAATAGCCTTGGTCGCGATAGTCTTTCCACCTCGCTTTCCTTCGTCCGAAGTAATCAAAACCTTTGATTGACAGTCATTTATCCTATCCCTCAACGACTCTGCCGAAAACCCAGCGAATACAACCGAGTGAATGGCTCCAATCCTCGCACAAGCCAAAAACGCAGCGACGGCTTGCCAAGTCATAGGGAGGTACACGGATACCGTATCACCCTTTTTAACACCGAGACTCTTGAGTACATTGGCAACTTTGCATACTTCGAGTAAGAGTTCCGAGTATGAGACGTTACGACCATGACCTGGTTCGTCTGCTTCGTAGATGATGGCAGTTTTGTCGGGAGAGGTAAAGGCGTGTCGGTCTACACAGTTGTATGAGGCGTTGAGCTGGCCTTCGGGGAACCAGGCGATGTTGCCTTGGGAGAAGGAACCGGAGCTAACGGTTTGGAAGGGGCGGTACCAGGAAATGGTTTCATTTGCTTTCTAAGTTGCAAGGATTATTAGTTTAGAAGAACAGGGAAACATAAAGGCATAGTAAGGCGTAATCTGGGAAGCGAATTCGCGATAAGCTCAAAATTTTCGCTGTTCTCTTCACCGACGTCCACGGACGAAACAGAAAAAGTACGATGCGAATGAAAATCTACTCACATTTGCCCACCATTCATCACTCTTGTCTCCAACACTTTCCTTGTACGCCTCTTCATACGCCTTTCTATCCGGACCAACGTGTGGTTTAATCTGGCCCTTGGCGACTCGAGAACCGACCGGGTGTTTCTGGACTGCAGCAGGTGCTTCTGTCATTTTCGAGCCTGCAGAGGGTGGAGTATAAGTTTTATAGAGTGGAAGAGGAGGGGAATGAGGGGATATGGGAGTGAAAGTCAGTAGAAAAGAGACGTGCTTCTTTATATAACCGATGATTGATGCGGGGTATCTATTTCATTTTTATCTATCCCCGATCAACTTGTTTCCGGCCTCGCCGTGCGATTTATCTTTTACCCCTTCCGGCATCACCGCTCGGCACCCTGCTAAACGTACCGACTATGGGACGGCGACGCAAATCGGAAGAGAACAAGAAGCCAAGGTATCTCGGCACAGGAACGGTAGCAAGTTTACCCCACACTCTTCCCCCGCGCCTCTACTTTTCCCCACTTCTTAGGCCGCACTCATACGCCCGTTACGGACCACGGATCTCCTTTCCCCTTCATTTCCGCCCGAATTTATCCACCGCCTTCTTGACAAATCCACATCAGCTGTTCATTCCAAGACACTTGTTGGCGTTTCGCGAGGGTCTGATGACCGCTTTATTGCCACCTAGACCGCTACATTCTAACAGGTTAAAAGTTCCAGATCCGGGAAGGGCGGGTGACCGCCTGATCGCTTCGTTCCTGTATGTATCTTTTGCTCTAGTGTCTTTCTTGTCTGTCATTTTCTTGGACTGAATACATTAGCCAAAGCCAATAGGACCTGTTCATGTGCGCCGCTCGGAAATTCTTGGTGGTGTATTCAATACCATGTAATCTATACCCGAAACGCGATAGCTTGAATGGAAATGGAGCCGAGCTCGAGATGCATGTTTCGACAGCAGACCTTATTACCAGAGTCCTCTGGACTAATCTAGTCAAAATTTCCTTCCCATACAAGCTACCGCAACGATTCATTACTGCGTATTCGCGACGTCGTACTCCGAGTCGACCCAATTACTTGCCAGGAACAAAACCTATTGCAGCGGATCAATCTCTCAGGCTATATCACTATCATCTCTAATCACCTCTGGCTTGATCGAGAAGAGATTTTGAGCTTCTATACATTAACGCCACCATCACTCCTACTTACTTCCCCCTATGCCCTGCTGCCAACCGAAATCCGAAAGAAAACGCGAACTCGGCTCCGCTTTGGGTGAACGCTGAAATCAAAAATGCCAAAGCTGTCTCCATTATGCTCCCTGCAAGACTTGAACTTGCGACCTCGAGATTGTCCACGCGGATATAGAGATGTGGGTTTCGCGCCCTACCGACTGAGCTAAGGAAGCAGATAATGAGGATTCGGTACCAATGGATCCAAGTCAACGACAGCAGAGGATAAACCAAGATGTTCAATGAAAGAAAGCAATTGTTCCACACTCGTATGATATTGCTATAGATGGATGGGCGTCAAAAAGACATGCGTGTTTATTGCTGCTGAATCAGAATTTCGTTCTGGATGTAGTGTCCGAGCTTCACCAAAGTGCACGGGAATAAGCATCTTTCCGCGAATTAATACCTTCCAAGATACGAAGGGATTAGGTATTCAAAAAATAATTGACGAATATTCCCACTCGGAGAACATTTTACCAGGTTCAACGCTTGCTCTATAACTTGGATTTCAATAGTTGGATCCGGAAAAGACACAACTCTTATATAATACATAGTCGATCATGTCTATAATACTGACATACCATGCTGAACTTTTCCTAACATCGCAGATTAGGCCTTCAGGTCTGATTCGGGATTTGCACTTTTTCCGACGTGATCAACTTAGACTCCAGAAAAAGTTTGGCTTGATCTTTCCAATCGGAAAGGATAACAAAGGTTTTATACCACCTATGTTGTTTTTGATTAGCTATATTGTGCATACCTGATGCCAGTTTTTTGTTGCGGATAAGAGAGCACGGACGCGTCTGACCGGCAGAGTCTGAACTGCCCCCGTCGAGTTTCGCTGTCGACTCGTCTCTTGGCAGTCGGCATTTATGCGAAAAATATTCAAGCCTACAGTTCACTACCGGGATCACAATCCGGGGACATGTACAAATTTCACTAAAGCCTGCTACTAATGTCCGAGTTCTTGAGGAAAACGTGTTATTCGCGTGAGAATCATTTGTTTGTCAGAACAAACAGTCGTTTAAGTTTCTCTACTAACGTTCACTGCGTCCACGAATGAACGTTGCCAACTCACTTCTTTCAACAGCAGACTTTGGCCAGAATACAATGCCTGACACCTCAAGCGCCGCCGTCTCAGCTGGGACACCAATATCAACTGCCGACTCATCTCCTTTAACGGACGCCAGTCAAGATACACTGATGCCCGACGTCTCAGATACATCCTCTGTTCCAACCATCTACCCAAGGGACTCTGCTTCATGTAGATTTGCAGTTGCGTAAGCTTTTTTTCCATTTTCTGTCGGTTGGTGCTGCTTCGCTAGTGATTTTGCAAAATATCTCGAAGCAGTGCCATGCTACTGCGAATTGGAAAATACCCCTTCCCCTCAGAATTCAATCTCCAACCCTATATCGGAGATTCTTGGACAGTTGCCCGATCTCCCCAACGTGTATGATTTCTCTCTTTCTAGTGCTCTCATGGTGTGTTACAGTTAGTTTTTGTTGTTCTTGACTTGACGGTCATCTAGACCTTGGAAAGCCGGCTAGACTTCGAGCTCAAAACTTATGGGCTTCCTGCAGATGATACCGTCTGCCAGGAGACCCAAAGACTGCATGAGAAATGGGGACTGAAACAAGATTTTCAGACCCAACGCCAGAGCTTAGAGCGCGCTGTCCTAGCAACAAAGATTAATTATATCTATGACTGGAGCCATACATATTCAGCATGTCTCAAAGCAGTTCTCACTGCGCCAGCTCTTCCTCCTCCATCCAGTGGCCTCGATCACTATGCTAGACTACTGGCTACGTATGGACAAAGTGTTTGGAACAGAAATGCCTACGATAAAGTTGACTTTCGGAGTTCATTGGATAGCGTGACAGCCCTCCTTGGGGGCGCGAAGTAAAGTATGTTGCCCTTTCTTGTGCTATATAATTACCTAAGAGTCTTCAGGTACAGGTTGTGTCATAAACAGCAAGTTTTTGCTGCTGGAATAAGGAATCTAGGAAAGACCTTCAAGGCTGATCAGTCTGTTGTTCGTCCGCTTTCACTTGCCGAAAAGCTGGATCAACCACAGGCTATGCTTTTAAATTGGGGTACTGAGTTGCCTGATGAATCAGTAGATATTCCTGTTCTCCCCCAGGAGTTCAAAGGTAGAGATGGCAGATTTGATGTTGTTGTCAACCAGATAGTAGTGGATCTCATGTCAGGGGCTGCTATCAATGAGTTACTTGACATCCAGTTTCCCTTGTATGGTGTTGTTGTATCCCTTGATAGATGCATTGTGTATGCTGGTCGGGCTAGAGCAGTAAGTTTGATTCCTTGTTCCTTTTTGTTTGGTGTCTCAACTTGTTCTTATAGCAGAGTGATGGTTCACTCAAGTTTGCTGTGCAAAAGGTTGAAGAGTTGGGAATCCTTAGAGAGTTCACCAACTACCTCAAATATCTCAGCTTTCTTGTACATCATCAAATTTGGTTTAAGGCCAATGTTTGGAACCTTATCCAGCAGCGGCAGCATGAGGATCCCAACTGGGTTATTCATAAGCTTAATAGGCAACAATTTAAGCAATGGTCTGTCCAATATGCAGGTCTGTCTGTCTGTACTCTTAGCCTCTCTTAATGATTCTGATTGTGCTGAACAGTTTGTAATGGTGCTATGGACCCTAACAGTATTGATAGAACTGTAAGTGGTGATCACAACACTATGTACAGCAAGGAGAATATTCAAGAGAAAGTTATAAAATGGTACCAGAGAGTTAATATTGAGTTAAATCATGAGGACAATTGATAGAGTACTGTATGCATGTGATTTCTTCCCCTTTTATGTAGAGATACTTGGAGTGGCAGTGTTCTACTTAAGGGCCTTAGATCAAGGGTAAGAAAATTTTAAGTGCTAAATCAGCTTAAGGGTTAATTTAAGGGGTTTCTTTTAAGGCTTAAGCCAAAAATATCAGAAATTAAAACCCTACGGCCGAGACCCGAAAAAAAATGCAGGCTCGGCCCAGCTTTCTCAAATTTATAATGCTGTTTGGAGTGGAATACTGGGACTTGAAATTCGGAAGCCATATAATGGTGTTTGAAGTGGATCCCGGGACTTGAAATTCAGAAGCCAGGACAAGTGATGCTGTATTGACAGATGAAAGCTAAATATTAAAGGTGAAACAATAGTAAAAATGAACAATCTGTCTCTCATGCTCCCTGCAAGGCTCGAACTTGCGACCTCGAGATTACCCACCTGAGAAGGAGGACATATTTGCTATGAGACTCGCGCTCTACCGACTGAGCTAAGGAAGCATGTCACAGAAAATCAAGGCACTAAAACGATCTGACGGCAGAATGAAGAGAGAGGAACATGCTGAACCCCGATAGTTAAGAACTTGAGATATTAGAAGGCAGCGACTCGGAGTACACTCGCTCCCTACTTGCGTAATAGTATTGATAAGCGTCAAAAAGAGATACACCAGAAATTCGTTCCATTTCGAATGATAACTTGGGATGCCAGGGATGGTCATTACCATAAAATTATCTTTGCCACGGCCTTCAAATCTGACTACAACTTGCCTTGATGATTTTTAGTACCCTTCACAGAGTGTTTCTGCTGCCGTTGAATGAACCATCCTCCTAGATACTTCTAGTGTCTGTACTTCACCAAAGTGCACGGGAACGGACACAGCATATAATCACTGAAGTATACTTGGGCTTGAGATGGATGCGATTGTTGACGATATGCTTGATCGCGGTTGACAAGGTAATCTCAGCGACAGAGAATGTTTGTCAATGAAGTACCCTCGAGAGCTTGTCTATATGGTCCGCAGGAAGTCCTCCATCTGTATAATTTTAAGGTAAGAGGGTGGCATATTATGAAAAATACTCAATTTTTCTAGCCTGGAATGCTTTCCGACACGATTTTTCCAATCGATTCTCCAGCAGTTTTTACTACGATTGCGAGAAACGACGGTATTACAACGTACCGGTTTAGAGCGCACTCATTTCTGAATCACATTGGGGCATTTTTCTTGACTTTAACCGGAGCAACATTTAACAAGTTCTGCTCATGTATAGATTCCCTTTATTCAAAAGTTTACCCCCTTCAACACCGGCATGTATGCGAATCAAGTCTAGGATTTGAGATAAATCGAAGCTACTTTAGCATAATAAACAACGAAGCGACCGCGTTGACCAAGAACCGGCTCAGTGCCTGTCTTTATATGATCACCTTTAGTACAAGATGTTGTACCTTGTAATACTATCGAGGATAGCTTGGCGTCGACCATAGAGTCGAAGAGTTCTTGGAGTTCTAAATGACCATTCCGAATAGTCTGGACGAATGATGGTTAACTGGGAGTGGTGGTGTGCAGAGTGTCCCAGAGGCTGCTTTTGATAGCGCGAATAACGATGAGAGGGACAGCGTCTGTCGACGAAGCAATGTCATTCTTCGGCCAAATGCTGAGGTAGTTCTGTGATATGAATACCATCCAAGGCAGGATGCAGGGTCAACTTTTCCGGAAGAGCACACCAACTCCTTCGTTTATTCTTGCGATTTTGGAGTGAAGGTCCCTCGAACTTGTTCTCAGGAAGTGGCAGATGATGCATGAAAATGAGAAAGCATCGATAAATATATCGATGGATTCTTATCTAATCTTATCTGCTCCGGTTTATCCATCCGACTGAATGAAGAACTTACTTCCGGTAACATCCACGCTTTCCAATAACCGTCATCTGCTGTATCACGTGCGCAATCATTGCTCTGTTCTTGAACCCTCTATGCAGACATGCTTCCTTCTTCACCCCTCCCAAAACGTGCCCTGTCCTCCGATCACGTCGCAGACGACAATCGTTCTGATACCATCTCCGATCCTGAGTCAAAGGCACGCAGAAAGTCGAACACTTCAGCGGCAAAAACCACATCTTTTATGCTACCACAACTTGAATGCGCCATGCCCGCTTTTCTTTTGTCTTATATACGTCCATACAACGATCGCTGCTGGCAAAAGCCTACGGTAAAGTAATGATGAAATTGCGAGTCTCACTGCTCGACATATTGATAGATTAAACACCACCATCAGAAATATACTAAGTTAAGGTTCTGACTACATCATGACTAGCTGACCCCGGGCGTTAATTCTCTTCCTCTCCAACCACCATCACCTCAACGACTAGGTTAGGTATGCTTCTCGGTGCAGCAATTTCTTGTTTTACTCAAATAACGCATTTGCCTCTTTAAGTCATGACTCGCTATCGGAAATCGGCTCGTCTATCGGATATCACCGTTCAACAACTAGTCGGGGAGCTTTTACATAGACTTAAGACTACGGATTTCAGGTGGGTCCTTGCGTAAGACCAGTAATTATGGCTCCTGACTCTTGTAACTTTTCAGTCATGTCAACATTACAGATGTGAGTATCTATCAGGCCATTATTGAACATTATTGAACAGTATGAAATTCACGACTTTTAGGTTGACACAATGGAGAGAAAAGTACAGATCTCCGCTTCAGTCCTGCGGGGTGTCCGAAACTCTACGCAAGCAATAAATCGTCTTCCTAAAGAACTATTGGAGATTATTTTCCTCTACACGCAACATTACGTTCCCAGTTTTATCCCTCGTCGCGAGACAGATCCTTCTGTCTACTCTAAATGGCTTCCATTGCTTCACGTATGTCGCCATTGGAGAGGAGTCATTGCTGCATGTCCGTTGATGTGGAACAGAATTGATAACGGCTTGATGCCCAAGACGTTTTTAAGGCGCTCGGGCTCTACAGCTATTGACGTATACCTTGGCTATAACCAGGAACTAATTATTCCACCCACGCTTGTGGATGCGTTGATTCCTAACATTCCACGATTCCGACAATTACATATAGACGAGAGCGAGTGGCGAGGCACGGCGCCTTTGTATTCCGTTCTTAATGTTCCTGCCCCAGAGTTGGCTAGCCTGACAATAATTTCCGATAAACCTCCATATATTCTGGGGACGAACATTTTGCCTTCGCTTTTCAGTGGACAAATGCCGTCTTTGAAACAGTTAACCCTCGCATACTATACGCGATGGCCATCTGGCTACTTCCAACATTTGACTCACCTTTGTTTGGTGGACCAGTGCAATGCTACTCCGACCAGCAGGCTAGCTACCTCCGAATTCCTTGACTTTTTGCAACAGTCTCCCAGGCTAGAGTATCTCATCCTCATGCGTGCAGGTCCCACTCGTTTCAAAAGTCATGACTTTCCGGTTCCTCCTTCAAATCGTCTTGTCAATCTCGGATTACTCCGTGAACTGACTATAGATGGGTGGCCCTGTAACTACATGATTTCACGTTTCCTTTCTCACCTATCTATTCCTAATACAACTGGAGTCTTCATTTGGGGCAATAACCTTCCTTCAACTGGTTGGGATGACCCAGATGAAAGTTACTTTCTGCCTGCTGATACATCTCACCTCTCTAACATGCAGAATATTAAGGAACTCTGGGTTATACTTCACCCAGATCCAGTTGGATTTAGTAACCATTTCCTTGTCCATAAATCAGCTCTCTGTATTCATGGCCACTTCAAATATCAGGATGTTTCGGCTATCTTGGAACGTTGTGCTCTTGATCAAGTGGATAAGCTTGTCGTACATGAGTCCTCTGCTCCAAAGAATCACTGCTTTTCAATTCAGAATTGGGAAGATATCCTCAAGAAATTGCCTGCATTACGAACTATCAGAATTCTGATGGACAATCCTTCCTGGGGCAATAAAATGATGGTTCGAGCGATCCTTTCTGCTTTATTCCCTAAAGCCAATGAGACTGATTCAACTTCGGTCTTACTGCCTGTCAAGGATGCTGAGAATGAAAAACCATCTCTTGACCCTCTACCAGAGCCCAATTCTTCTGGTCCATCAGCAACAGGGTTTGCTGAAGAGAGTAAAACGACAAGTCCACTTCATGGCAAAACTTTGGATTCAATCCATTCTGATCTTGAAATCCTGTGTCCCTTATGGGAATCTTTATATATCGAACGAGACCCAACACCTCCAATCCTGCTCATATCCAACCTCGCCGAAGTGCGAGCTCGATATGGCAAACCTCTAAAACGTCTGGAAGTGGTTTACAATAGCTCTCCATACCCCCCAAACCCTCTATCAGATGATCAGAGTGAAACATCAAGTGGATCTGACGAAGGATGCCATACAGACATACAAAACGAACTTTTGCAGAAGGACACATCTATATTGAAAAGTCATATAAACGATGTTGTACTGGATCCCACAAGTATTGAAATGACCCTAGTTCCGCCATTCACCCAGAATTTCGGTGAATGGATTTACTATCCTGTAATTTCAGTATGAAAGCGGAACGGAGGATCAATGGGTCGTGTAAGCTCGGATATCAGGAGCTGTTATTCTAGATGTAAGGTAGCCACCGAAATATATACTTCAAGTTAAATAATACCAGTGTTGATGCTATTATAGTAACGCAAGCAACGACACAAACGCGAATCCCGCCGCTACAAAAGACATTCTATTAACAATTCCACTGCCAGATCCTCCCCCACCGCCTGCAGTGATAGTGTGGCTAGAGACGGAAACTCCAAGGTCATTGCATGATTGAGTGTAAGCTGTGAAAGATTATTTTCAGACCAAGAGGTTCACGGGAACAAATATGAAGAAGTTTACAGTCCATCACCGACTGTGCAGTGGTTTGGTTAAGCATGCCATTAGAATTGGGTATCAAGCAGCTCAGACAGTTGGAGAAGGCATCAGCTGAATCCTGACTACATGTACATTGTCCAACCTCCTCCATGGTCTGCGCATTACTGCAATCCTGTAATATAACAGAAGAGTAAGTACTTGCGACGAGAGAAAGCGACGTGAGGTACACTGACAGGGGTAGGGAAACCACAGGAGTCCTTTCCAGAGCAAGCTGAAGGAACATTTCCTGAGCCCAATGGTAAATCACCTAAACCACCAGCGCCGGCTCGGGTCACGAGGTTAGAGGTAGGAAATCCGTTCAAGGTATTTGTGACTGCATGAAAAAAATGATCAGTAACGAATAACTTTCAACAAGAATTGCGAAACATGCATCCATGTTGAGTGAGAAGGGTGAAAGTCAAGAAGAGGACAAGGGACTTCGAGATCATGTTTGAAGAGAGTGACGAAATTGCTGGCTCGCAGGCAAAGGAGAGAGGGGAGAATGCAGAAGACTGACATGTACCAGTTCCTCTTTTATCGGACCACGATGTTTCACCTGAGAATGCAAATTCAGGTTGGGCTGCTAACCTGCCAAATCGCCACAAAGAAATGAATTAGGATTA